AACTCAAGGCAAGTAACCACCCATGGTGTTCTGGTGGGAAAACATCAGGTAGGAAAGGAACCTGGGTCCTAAGGCTTGGACTGGTCCAACCCTGTCAGACCGGCAAGACAGAAATGACAACTGATTCAGGAACTCTTGCCAGCCTCTAGAGAAATCCTGGAATAGTCGGCTCTGACATGTTAATACCCTGCACAGATCAACGAACTGATGGTCACCCAGACTCACCAAGCCACGGACTTCTCCATAAGCCATGTTCTCACTCAGCCACCAAGTGACCAAGCCCCATGTATTGATTTAAACCAAAGATATATACAGGGTATTAAACATACGCCAAAGGAACAGGTAACTTGAACACAAGGTCAAAATCAGCAACAAGTTCTACAATCCAGTGCTGATATCAGATACAAGCTTCAAGGACAATTGCTTTTCAGAGGCTTATTCCAGTTTTGTGAGGCTAGCATGAGGTGTATACATTTGCCAGAGCAAATTTATACTTCGGAATTAACTCATGCAGCAAATGCTACGCATCTGCTTGCAGTCCGCTTAGAAGCATTTGCGGTGGACGATGGAGGGGCCCGACTCGTCATACTCCTGCTTGCTGATCCACATCTGCTGGAAGGTGGACAGCGAGGCCAGGATGGAGCCGCCGATCCACACAGAGTACTTGCGCTCAGGGGGGGCAATGATCTGAAAAGACAGCAGGGCGCGGCTTTAGTTCACACTGTCTTTCTGACACCGCCTCCAGAGCCAAGCTAGAAACCACCAACCATTCAACTCACCTTGATCTTCATGGTGCTGGGTGCCAAGGCAGTGATCTCCTTCTGCATCCTGTCTGCGATACCCGGGTACATGGTGGTGCCGCCAGACAGCACCGTGTTGGCATACAGGTCCTTGCGGATGTCCACGTCACACTTCATGATTGAATTGAAGGTGGTCTCATGGATGCCACAGGATTCCATACCTAGGGGATAAAGCGTTCCCTTAGTGGTGGTGTTCTGTGCTGTGGGGAGCCCTCAACTCATGCCCCCTGCCTAGACACCTACCCAGGAAGGAGGGCTGGAAGAGTGCCTCTGGACACCGGAACCGCTCATTTCCGATGGTGATCACCTGGCCATCAGGCAGCTCGTAACTCTTCTCCAGGGAGGAGGAGGATGCAGCGGTGGCCATCTCCTGCTCGAAGTCCAGAGCAACGTAGCACAGCTTCTCCTTGATGTCACGCACAATCTCCCGCTCGGCCGTGGTAGTGAAGCTGTAGCCACGCTCTGTGAGGATCTTCATGAGGTAGTCGGTCAGGTCCCGGCCAGCCAGGTCCAGACGCAGGATGGCATGGGGGAGGGCGTAGCCCTCATAAATGGGCACCGTGTGGGTAACACCGTCTCCGGAGTCCATGACAATACCAGTAGTGCGACCAGAGGCGTACAAGGACAGCACGGCCTGGATGGCCACATACATGGCGGGAGTGTTGAAGGTCTCGAACATGATCTGGGGAGGAACAGCCAGTGCCTCAGGCAGAGGCAGAGCCCATGGCCACCCCATGCTCACACGACATGCACATGCCACAAAATGTGATGTGTGGAGAAAAGAAAAGAACACAGGCAGACACACAAATGAGAAACCTGGAGACTTCAGGAAGGAAATGCCAGAAGAACAGAACCCTGGAAATATCGAAAGAAACACTTGAATTTCAGGAAACAAAGCTAAGCAGAAAATGACTTGTGATCAAAGGCGACAGAGACGCCCAAGCCCAATCCTTACCTGAGTCATCTTCTCCCTGTTGGCCTTGGGGTTCAGCGGGGCCTCGGTCAGCAGCACGGGGTGCTCCTCAGGAGCCACGCGCAGCTCGTTGTAGAAGGTGTGGTGCCAGATCTTCTCCATGTCGTCCCAGTTGGTGACGATGCCGTGCTCAATGGGGTACTTCAGGGTCAGGATACCGCGCTTGCTCTGGGCCTCGTCGCCCACGTACGAGTCCTTCTGGCCCATGCCCACCATCACGCCCTGCGGAGGCAGAGATCAGGCTCGCCGCGCCCGCGCGCAGACCGACTCCGCGCGCGGGGACCCACGGTGCGGGGCGCCCGCACTCACCTGGTGCCGAGGGCGCCCGACGATGGAGGGGAACACGGCTCGGGGGGCGTCGTCCCCAGCAAAGCCAGCTTTGCACATGCCGGAGCCATTGTCGATGACGAGCGCGGCGATTTCTTCTTCCATTGCGATCTGCCCGGAGACGCGACCGACTCAGACGGGCCCTCG